ATAACCTTCATTCCCCCATCCCCTGAAAAATACTAGTTTGTTTTTTCTCCTCCCTGCTTTTGATTGGTATCCCAGGATGGTTTACCAGTAGCATAAGCATCTAGAACCAAGGTACTTGTACTTTTCATAACTTGTACTTGTTTTAAGTGCCAATTTTTGAATCCTACTGAAACAGAAACTCGGAGTAGAACCCAGAAATCTGCACTTGAATGGATTAAATACAATAATGTTATTGCTGTAGATATCTACATCATTCCTATGGACTTCCTGCTTTACATAGCTTAGTTTTTCCATTGATTGGTTTTCATTGTTTCRTGTAGTGAATCCTGTCTCCCCAATTAGAATTTAAACTATTGAGGGCTGGGGTTGTGGCTCAGTGGTAGAGTGCTTACCTAGCACGTGTGAGGCACCAAGTTCAATTCTCAGCACCACATATAAATAAATAAAGATAAAAGTCCATCAACCACTAAAAAAATTAAAATAATTTAAACTATTGAGGACAATATCATGTTTTTATTTCTTTTATAGGTCTTTTCAGTGAGTACGGAGTTTGCTATCAACACTGTAGATCCTCAATCAACACAGAAAACATTTATTGTGCCTCTGCTGTAATCATAACCTGTCTGCGATTATAATGGCTGAAGAATGATACCAAAATGAATATGTCGYGGTTCTTGACTTTGCCAATCTTTCTTCAATGAGGACTGGTAGACACATAAGCATAACAGATGTAATGCAGCAATACAAAATACTGCCAAGTAGAACACTAAGGAACACACTATAGGGACCCAAAGGAAGAAATATTAGGTTATGTTTTTGTAATAGTGAAACATGTTCAGAGGAAGATAGTTTGAAGTAAGGGTATCTTTCCAAGTTCAGAGATAGGTTTCTTTGTGTGGTAGTGGGAGGGAGTGAGTAGCACAACATTCACAACTACAGGAACAGTTCTGGCAGTGCCTCCAAAGTATGGCTGTGCATTGTTAACTCTGATTGCTTAAGTACTGGCCCAGGGGAGATGTCTGGGTAGACAGGAAATAAGACTTGGTTTGAGGTATTTTAAAGTACACTTAAAGTGCATTTTGAAAGCACTTTAAATGCATGATATGTCCAGTGGTTCCCAAATATTGATGTATTTTATAATCACCTAGACATCTTGTTTGAAAACTCAGATTTCTAGTATTCACACCAGACTTTCTAAATCAAAACCTCTGGAGTTGGGGCCCCCAAATCTGTAATTTTAACAAGCTGCTCTAGTGATTCTTACATATTTGTTGACAGTRAGCAGGATAGACAGGCAGGGAGAGAGTCTTGAAGCAAGAAAGCAAAGTAAAGGTAACTAAAATAATCTCAGACACAGAAGAAGAGTGCCTAAAGAGTGGCAAGAGCCACAAGAGCAGAAACATAGAAAGATTAAAAATGTACCATGAAGATTTAATCAATAGGATTTAGAGAAAGTTTTTTGGTTAAAATAAATCATGCCATTTAAAAAATGTTATTGCTTTAATGATTCAAATCAATTCCCCTTCTATGTACTTTCTTATACTTTGGAGCAATTGCACCAAGAAGAGAGTTCCACTTTTTATAACCAAGCTGCACAGTATGTTTAATCCAAGTGCCATACAATAATATGAACAGTAGGTGGCACTTTTGTGCTATGCCTGAATTTTTAAATGTAAAGACTACTAACCTGGGAAGGATCAGAGCTTAAAACTAGAAAGGGGATCCAGTAATTAAATTCAACTTGTGGTTTGAAGGAGGCCTGTAAAAGAGGGGCTAATTAAATGTCATTTTTCCTTATCTACTACATGACCTGCAATAATACCTTGTAGATTTTCAAATATTGATCTTGCTTATGGCTGTGCTCAGATGAATGACAGTTTTGCAATTTTGTGAAGTCCCAAATAATTATTGTAGCAAGTGGAATTAAATTAATTCAAGTAAATTTGAGGTTAGAAAATACTTCAATTTTGATCACATTTCCAAATGTGCACTTCTGAGTTATTGCTGTTTGAAAACATAAGGAATGGCAGAAAAGAACAAAATCAAACATGAAAAAGAACTACAGGAGGGGCAATTTGGAGTATTAAATGAGGACTGTGGAATGAAAATAAAGGATACATTCCTTTTATTTTAAAAAATATTATTAACATCTTGGCTAGTATACAAAACTTGTCATATTTACAATACACTTGCAATCATGCAAAAAGCACCATTAAAAAAAAGAGTAGATTTGGGGGACAAATTGCTAAGTGTCTAAAATTGTCAATGCTGCCACTTCTTAGTTGTATGCTAAGTAACTTAATGTTTCTGCATATGAATTTTCTCACCTGTAAAATGAAAATTGTAATAACAGCACCYCTCCAATGAGATAATTGTGTGGAATGTATGTATGAGATACTTAGAAAAGTATGTACCATGGACATCATAGGTATATGATAAACTTTTTAAGGTTAACTCTAAGTGATAGGACAATAAGTAATTCCTTCCTTCTCGTCTGTTCAACTAAAAACATATGCTTTGCTTTGCTTTACTAATGAACTAAAGATGATTTATTGTTATATACCACTGAGATCTTATGGTTGTTTGTTAGCATTATTGTAGCAGTAGATAACTGATATAACGGACTCAACAACAACAACAAAAAAACGTTGAATAACTACAGTGGATATACAGATGTTTTACAATGAATATGTAAATGTTCTTTCATATGTTCTATCTCTTCTTCATTATTTACTATCTTAAAAAGAAACATTTATTTTTTTAATTAAAAAAAAAACATTTAGAGAAATATATATTCTTAAATTCTCTCTATCTATCTATCTCTATTTCTCTATCTCTGTCTCTCTCTCTCAGATAATTTCAATTGTTTCTTCCTTTTTCTCTTACTCTGTTGTGCCCAGTGGTAAACATATCATGGCTGTGAGAAATCCTGAGGTCTTGATTACTCTTCAGTTTCCAGCATTGCTATTCTTTTATCATGGTGAAACATGCATGAAATATAACTTAACATTCTAATCATTTTAAGTGTACAATTTGCTAGCATTAAGCACACTTACAGTGTGCAAACATCTTCACTGTTTCAAAAACTTCATTATCCCAAACAGAAACCTACACCATTAAAAAAGTAACTCCTAATTCTTCTTTACTCCTAATCCCTGGTAACCTCTGTTCTATTTTTTTTTTTTTTTTGCCTCTATGAAACCGTATATTCTAGGGGAACTTATTAAATGGAATCATATATGTTCCTTGGTGTCTGGCTTATTTAACATGTTTTTAAGGTTCACCAATTGTGATAATATATATCAGAACTTCATTTTATGGCTGAATAATATTYCCCATAARTATATATCACATTTTGTTTACCCATTCATCTGTTGGATACTACTTAGTGATTTTTCCTTTGGTGTTATCATTTTAAAATGCTGCCACAGACATTAGTTTACAAACTATTTGTTGGATCCCCTGCTTTGAATACTTATGGGATATACTACCAGTGAAATTGCTGGATCATAAATAATTCTTTCATTGACTTTTTTTTTAACTGGGGGTTAAACCCAAGGGTTCTTTAATACTGAATTATATCCCCAGTTCTTTTTACATTTTTAAAATTTTGAGACAGGATCTCACTAAGTCGCTGAAGCTGGTCAACTTGTGATCTTTCTGCTTCAGTCTCCCAGTGGCTGGGATTACAGTTGTGCATAATATGATTAACTTTTTGAGGAACTTTCAAATTCAGTTTTCCACAGTTCTATGTTATTTTACATTCCTGACAGCGTCTAACCTTTTTAAGCATATCAGGTATTTTTTTTTWAAACTAGACTGGAATAAGCAGCAATGCTTAGAGTCCTGCCAACTGACAGGTTGCTGATATCAAGTCACTTTGCTTTCTTTTTCTTTTCTTTCTTTCTTTCTTTCTTTTTTCTTTCTTTTTTTTTTCTTTTTTCTTTTGGTACTGGTGATCAAACCCAGGGCATTGTATATGCTAAGCAAGTGTTCTCTGTATCAATGCTCTCTGGCACATGCCACATCATCTCTAAGATTAATGTTTCTTACCATTATAGCTGACACTAACACAGCAATAATCTAGGGAGCTTGTTACATGTGCAGAGCCCTAGATTTCACACCATATATGCTCAATCAGCATCTCTGACAATAGAGCCCTATATCAGCATTACACATACTAAAATATGAGTGAGATTCATCAACCTGGACTGTTGAGTTTTTTAGGTCAGGGAAAATATTTCAGTCATACTAGTATCCCTCAAGGTTGAACAAACGAATTAAACTAGTACTGTATTGCAATCTAAAGCCATTTTCTACCTGTTTAATCGCTAAACTCAGTCACYACGCAACCAGTTAAGAGAACTGTAATTAAAGCATGTAGCATGCCTTTTGCTTACACAGAATATGTACCTTATCATGGTCTATCATGCCATTTTTTTTTTTTTTTGCCAAGAATCTTTGTTCTATAATTTTCAGCTGTACCCTTCATCCTTTGAGGCAGGGTTTATTTATTTATTTATTTATTTATTTATTTATTTATTTTTTGAGAGAGAGAATTTCAATATTTATTTTTCAGTTTTCGGCGGACATAACATCTTTGTATGTGGTACTGAGAGAGAGAGAGAGAGAGAGAGAGAATTTTAATATTTTATTTTTTAGTTCTCGGCAGACACAACATCTTTGTTGGTATGTGGTGCTGAGGATCGAACCCGGGCCCCACGCATGCCAGGCGAGCGGGCTACCGCTTGAGCCACATCCCCAGCCTTTTTTTTTTTTTTTTTAAAGGTACGTACTAAGAGCTATCTCCGTATGGCCTATAAGATCAATATCTAAGAATAAAGTTTGAAATTTGCTAACATTGGTAACATTTGGTAACTGTGCCGACTTCATAATGTTGCTGAAGTACAAATGATACTATGTGTAAGAAAACTTACTGTAGAAAAGTTACTATGTGGTCTAGTAACTGAAACCAAAAAACACGCTACTAAGTCATTAAAGACTTTAAATATGTGTAATTTTATTATTCTAAACATACACAAACGAGCAGATGAGAATAGACACAAACAGCAGGAAAACACTAAAATGGATGAACACCACAGGTGTCCGGTTTCGGTATCTCTCGTAGGGCACTGCGGGTGGAGAAATGTGATTAAACTACTTCAAATCTGTCCTCCAGGGATTTAGATACTCTATACCATACTATACTAATACCTAGCAAGCTGCTCCTCTTCATATCAAAGCTCCCTCTCCTGTCATAACAAGCTGTAGGGGACGAGTTGGAAACCCGTGGGCGCGCGCGGTCTCTTTAACGTGTAATAGAACACTGATTGCATCGATAGAAGGCTCGCAGCCCCTTTCCTTTTTCGGTCGCTCTCATTCCGGACCTGGTTACTATCCCCTTCCTAGCATCAAACCCGGGAGAACGCTGGCGTTAATAAACGTGGTTGGCTAATAAACGTTGGCTTTAGTGTGTGGCAGCACTCGGTCCCGGAGCGGCCCGCCCGGCGACAGGGGGCCCGCAGTCCTCGGCGCGGACAGAGTCTCGGGGCTCGTCTGGCCACGCCTGGAGCGCGGGGTTTGATTGGGCCGCCGTTGTTGTAGTGACCGGGAGGCGCTGCCGCTCAAGGCAGACGGTTCCGGGCGCCGCACGGTCCCCCCCCTCCTCTCCTACCCCTTCCCCTCCCCCGATTCCCCACTCCGGCAGGAATCCGGAGCTAACTGCTACACCCATGGCCTCCGCTCCGGTAAGGACCGGCTGGCCAGGCACTTTCCCCGAGTCGTCCCCGCGGGCTGCGGGGGCCAGGTCGGGAACATGCCCACACCTGGCGGGAGATGGAGGCAGGTGTCAGCAGCCGGCTCTGCCGCTGGCCCCTCGCCCTGGGGCGTCGGCGTCTCGCGGCGGCTGAGCGGCGGGAATGCCGAGCTCCAGGGCGGGCTGCCCGACGCTCCTCCCCGCGTCCCGAAGCTCTGGGCAGAGACCSGCCGGCCCATGGCCCCCTAGAATTCTCGGAGGGTCTCGGTGGAGCGCCTGCGTCAGAATCACCTGGGAGGTGTCGGAGAGCGCGGGAGCCGGGGCGCCGACACGCACCTGCGGATTCCGCGCCGGAGGGCGGGGCCGGGGAACGCGCGTTTCGAATGAGCCTTCAGGTGGTCCTCCCTCGGATGCTCTCCAGTCTGGGAAGCGCGGATGGAGGATTTTGCCAGCTTTGCCGGGGCAGCCGGCGCCCAGCGTCTCCCCGTCGGGGTGCTGGGTGCCGCGCCCGAGCGCTCCCATTCTGCGGTCCGCCCTCTACGCGGCGGTTCCCGATCCGACCCCCCCGCCCCCGGGAGGGGCCGCCTAGGTTCCCCGACCCCCAGAGTTTCCGATTAGCACCTGCTTTCTGAACTTGACAACTTTCCTTCCTAGGAGGACCCCGTTCTGGAGCGTTATTTTAAAGGCCACAAAGCTGCAATCACCTCTGTGAACTTCAGCCCCAACGGCAAACAACTTGGTAAGTTTTCTTTCTTTTTTTTCTTTTCGTGATGAAACAACATTTCCGTTGGCCATAAACTTTTCCTTTTGTCCAGATTGGCCCCCAGGAGAACCACTGAGAACCTGTATGGGGGATAAGAAGGGCCGGAGATTGGGGAGCCTGGGGCAGCAGGAGACTCTTGGGTCACCCCACTTGGGTCGGGCCAAGAGCCGCCTGCTGGCTGGGCCTAGCAGACGACTTTTCGCCAAGTAACCACCAGGAGGAGTGAGTGGGAAGGGGAGGGGTTTGTCCTCGGCCCGGAGAGGGTGGGGTGTTGGCTGGAGAGTTTGTGAAAAGTTCTGAGAGCAGCAGGAGGAAGTGGGAAAGAAGAGTTGCGCCGTGCCGGAGGCTAAGGACCCAAGGGTCTCAGGTGGCCTCTGGGAAACTCTCGGTGGCTGGAAAGAAGCCGAGCGCCTGCATGAAAAGAAGGACCTGCTGGGAAACTCACCCCTACCTGAGCCGGGCATTCAAGTTGCGGGTTTCGCAGCGCTTCTGCGTGGTGGCTTGGTGGCCGGGTCTACGTCCTAGCCTTGGAGGATCCGGATGGCTGTGAGGTGGACGTGGGCAGGCAAGAGCTGCCTGCTGCTGGCGCTCTTAACAGTGGCTTATATCCTGGTGGAGCTCTCGGTCACTACCTTCCACGCTTCCTCAGGAGCCGGCCTTGCCAGGCAACGGGGGTCTAGAAGGCACTCAAACTTTGCGGAAGAGACTGAGGATTTGTCTCGACCTCTTTATGAAAAGCCTCCTGCAGATTCCCATGCCCTTGGGGAGTGGGGAAGAGCCAGCAAACTCCAACTCAATGAGGAGGAACTGAAGAAGCAAGAAGAACTCATTGAGAGATATGCTATCAATATTTATCTCAGTGACAGGATCTCTCTGCATCGCCACATAGAGGATAAAAGAATGTATGAGTGTAAATCCAAGAAGTTCAACTATAGGAAGCTTCCCACCACCTCTGTTATCATCGCTTTCTATAATGAAGCCTGGTCGACTTTGCTTCGCACCATTCACAGTGTTTTAGAAACTTCCCCTGCAGTCCTTTTGAAGGAGATCATCTTGGTTGATGACTTGAGTGACAGAGTGTATTTGAAGGCACAACTTGAAACTTACATCAGTAAGCTTGATAGAGTTCGCTTGATTAGAACCAATAAGCGAGAGGGACTGGTTAGGGCCCGCCTAATTGGGGCCACTTTTGCCACTGGGCAAGTCCTCACTTTCTTGGATTGTCACTGCGAGTGTAATTCTGGTTGGCTGGAACCACTTTTGGAAAGGATTGATACAGATGAAACAGCAATTGTTTGTCCTGTTATAGACACTATTGATTGGAATACTTTTGAATTCTATATGCAGACTGGGGAGCCCATGATTGGTGGGTTTGATTGGCGTTTAACTTTTCAGTGGCATTCTGTCCCCAAGCATGAAAGGGACAGGCGGCAATCAAGAATTGACCCCATCAGATCACCTACCATGGCCGGAGGACTATTTGCTGTCAGCAAAAAGTATTTTCAGTACCTAGGAACCTATGACACTGGAATGGAAGTKTGGGGAGGTGAAAACCTCGAGCTGTCATTTAGGGTGTGGCAGTGTGGTGGTAAATTGGAGATCCACCCGTGTTCTCACGTGGGCCATGTGTTCCCTAAGCGGGCACCATATGCTCGCCCCAATTTCCTACAGAATACTGCCCGGGCAGCGGAAGTGTGGATGGATGAATACAAAGAACATTTCTACAATCGAAACCCTCCAGCAAGGAAAGAAGCTTATGGAGATATTTCTGAAAGAAAATTACTACGAGAACGACTTAGATGCAAGAGCTTTGACTGGTATTTGAAAAATGTGTTTTCTAATTTACACATACCAGAGGATAGAGCAGGGTGGCATGGGGCTATTCGCAGTATAGGCATCTCCTCGGAATGTCTAGATTATAATTCTCCTGACAACAACCCAACAGGTGCTAACCTTTCATTGTTTGGATGCCATGGTCAAGGAGGCAATCAATTCTTTGAATATACTTCAAACAAAGAAATACGGTTTAATTCTGTGACTGAGTTATGTGCAGAGGTTCCTGAGCAAAAAAACTATGTAGGAATGCAAAATTGTCCTAAAGATGGGTTCCCTGTTCCAGTAAACATTATTTGGCATTTTAAAGACGATGGAACCATTTTTCATCCACACTCAGGACTATGTCTTAGTGCTTATCGGACACCTGAGGGCCTACCTAAGGTACAAATGAGGACTTGTGATGCCCTAGATAATAATCAGCTTTGGCGTTTTGAAAAATAGAAGAGCACAACAGCACTTTTATCTTGAGCTGACAGTAGCCTCAGTGAAGATTATATTTTATCAGAAGTCACCCAACAGACATCTGTGAGAGCACTAGAAATTCTGTGGCTCATTTTGGGGTATTACACTGAAACTGAGTACACAAAGTGCTGCTGTTTAATATTTCAAAGTGCCTTACTTATGAGTTGTTTTACTTAAGAGATTTGTCTATATGGTCTCTTCTCCTTAAATTGACTGTGAATTGAGATATACAGAACACTTAAGTGCCAGACTTAACATTACAGAATGTAAAAGTCCAAGCAAAATTGGGTATGATTTATGTTGATGGGTAAATTCACTGCACATTGCATTTTTTTCCCCTAAAAACTCATAAATGTGCAGTTTGAGCTATTGCTATTTTGATTGCATAGAATTTTAATTTCTTTCAGCCAKCACGTTAAATTTTAGGTTTTGTTTATTGTTTAAACTAATTTTCCTTTAGTCAAGTAGAAATCAAAGAAAGTTGATCATAAGAAGAAAAAGGTCTAGTTTAGATATATTGTCATTGGAAGAGGGCATCAGAATGTGAATTTGGAAGTCTTTTTAGCATACAGCATCTCAGAAAACCATACCCACATCTGAATGAAAGGGGAGATATTTACATTCCTCTATTTGTAAACTTGAGCTGTTGGACTTAACTGACTTATACCTCGAATCATTAGTTTTGTAAGCTGTCCTTTCTGTGAATTTGTTTGTGAGTCTAGGGCGTTTTCTGATTGCACTTCCTTAAGTTATGAATGTACTAGAAAGGGACTCATTCAGAATACTGTGTTCTCCTTTGTTAATGCTTAATCATGTAAAGCAAACACAGTTGAGGCCTCTCTGAAATTAAACCCGAGTGTGTTTACTGAAATGTGTGAAACTGAAAGCAAGCCAGGTTCTGCAAAAGCCTCTACGATCTCTTGCTGATCTGAAAACTAAAGAATTTGTCTTAAGATCACAGGTTAAAAAGACTGTCTTGGCAATTATGAATGTTGCCTTCTCATTTTCAGCACCTAGCAGCCTGGCACTTAGGTATCTTTTAGTAAGTGAGTAAATGAGTGACCGAATGAATGAATGGCTCAGCCAATGCACRTAACTTTGATCAAGTCATTTAACATGCTTGGGCTTCAGTTTCCTCATCTGTGAGTACTGAACTGGAGCTTGATGATCCCTTCCAGCTCTGAGATGTTGATTGTACATTCTCCCTTTCTCAGACTCAAGTCACTGTGCAATTTCTACAATACTTCTTATGTCTTCGCTTAACATAGGTAATGTTGAACAGTTGAGCAATGTTCAGTCCAGGAGTGAGCCTGGACAAAAGAAAAATTTTTTAAAGTGAACTGAACTCTCCTGAAATAGTATATTTTTGTGGATATAAAGTTGTTGTAGTTTGAGTTTGTAGTCATTTCATTTTGACAGTTGTTGAACCAATTTTGTTTTTAAATCTTTTAAGGTCTAAATGTAATCTTTTAACTAATAACATTTTCCAAACTAAATTACTTCAGAATTAAACATACATTTGTAAAAGTATTTTTCACTGATTTTGTACCAGTGTTGTATCTAGACATCACAGACAGAATTTAGAATTAAATCTAAATTTACTTCACTTTGGTCTAGAATTATTAAAAAAAMATGCATGACGTTCCATAAATAATTAGTCCACAATATTCATAGATGATGTTGTTTTTAGTGTTTGATGACTTGTCAAGTAGGAACTTTGCAAAATCTGAATTTAAGAAAATTATTTAGGATGACCATATAAAAAATTATAATTGTTGTGTAATTGTGACTATTTTGTTTCTCTTTTGCCTGTTAAAGTGAAAATGTGTTGATAGTTTATGTGCATTATCCAACAATCTTAAACTTAATCAAAAAATTGTCTAGATCCCATATGCAATGTGTTCCACCTTGGGTTTAATTTAAGAAGAATTTATAATAATGCTCTGAATTTTTCAAGTTTCTCCCTAAACCTACCCTCTCCCCTTGCCCAGTCTCTTTTTAAAAATAATTTTCTTTTTTTTTAAACTTATTTTAAATTTTTTTCTCTTTTTATTTTGTGTGGTTCTTTTTAKCATCCTATAATATGGGAGAACTAAAATGGTTATATTCTGGAAGTACTTATTGAAATTATTTTATTTCAGTATCCTGATGCTCATATCAAAAGGGAGAAAGAGTATTTTACTTAATTCTTTGTTTACCTTTTACCCTAAATTGTGATCTTTTGGTAGGAAAATTTGGGCTGATCCTTTATTTATACCAATAATTCAAAAGAGTTAGCCTGTTTATTCCTCAAAATATTATATGTAACAGAGAAATAAGACTTTGATTTTTTTTATATGTTGGTATGTTTCAATTTAATTCCAAAAATACACTCTAATACTATATATAAAATACATTTTGAYTCCCTAATTCTAATTTATTGGTACCAAAGCATTCTCACTATAGAGAATTTAAGAGTTGACTTTTAAGTTAATTTGCATACATAGTAATAAWATTGTGAAACTACTTAGTGGGCAAGGAATTTCCACTTTAAATGTTCACTCTATTAGTGACCAATTCTAGGAATAGATTGGCTAAGTAAGCTTTTCAGCAGTCATTTTTATTTTTAAGAAAATGATAATGTAGTCCTTAGAAGGATCTCTGTAACTTAGAATAACTTGTTTGTAAAAGAAAATTTG